TGACCATGCACACACATGCCAAGACAAGCTTGGTAATCCATCGGAAAAGCAGAATTCAGGAGCGGCAGCAAACTGGAGATGGCTCATTTTTTGTGGGTTTTTTTTTTTTTTTTTAAGTGGTTGTATTGGTTTGGTTGCTTTTTTGATTTTTTTTTTAATCTGGGTTCTTGGGGAACACTCTTCAAACAGTACCTCATTCCAATTCACTAAGAAGGCAACATCAACCTAAAAGAAAAATATGTTCTTCCATCCAGTTGAGAATTCAATGTTAAGAGGACAATCTGTCAAAGACTGAAACTCTAGAACTTCACTTATTCAGAAGTATTCCAGCAAAACATCACAGGAACCATAGCCAGCCTAAAGGACCTCTATGTGTCACCTAAATCCAGAGCATTCTGGCTGGACTACATCTCCCACAAACTCTGTGGAGAACATTTCCTGTGGTGGAAAAGAAGATTTTTTGGCTTGTCATCTGAATAATCTCTGCCCACTAAAGCGTTGCAAATGTCGTCCTAGTAGTAGACTTGCATCGAGTTATCATCTGTGCTGTACTTTAAAGTTGGAGCCCTATTTTCACATATTGAAAAAACCCTAAAAATGAAAGGAAGCTCTTGGACATAATATTTTAATCCAAAACAAAGTTTAGGCAGGTTGTTTCTCCTCTATCTATTGCAGCAAATACCAGATGAGATATGATGTATCCTTTATAAGCACCTTTATGAAACCTTGAAGTGCTACATACATACAGCAAAGTCTGCCGCTGAGATTGCGATCAAAAAACCTCACACAGGACAAATGTCAGAGCGAGAAGAGAGCTAGGAAATGTTAATAGCATGCCTTTAATGGCATGCTGGCTCCTCATCACAAGGCAAATGGTTTGCTGGAGCTACAGCTGTACTACAGTACCAGTTTGCTGAAATGAATGTAGCAGCATTGTTAGCACTGAGCTTCCACCATGTCCTTAAGTGTGTGTGAGTTACTTTTAACAGATCAGCTCAGTGCACGTTTGTTACACAGACAATAGCAGCACTTTGGAAGAGGTGCTTCAAATCTCCAGAGATGCGTTCAACGTGACAGTAACTCGCAGGTTGTTCAAAGCTCACTTTCAACAGAAGAGAGTCACTCCCACTAATGCAGCCACTGCATCCCTTACCCCACTTTTGAGTTTTTTTAATAGTTGTTCCATTCATAAACTGGTAGTGGAAGTAAGAGCAAAAAGTTTACAGCCACTCCTAAAAATATACAGGGGAAGTCTAAAACCTTCTCCAAGTCAATCCATTTAAGCTGCAAACACACCTGGAGAGCAGGAATTTCAGTGGGCAGGGAGCAAGAAACTGGCATCATCTGTTGGAGTACAACAGCCCACAGACCGAGGCAGACAGAGGGAGCTGTTGCTATTCAAATGGGAGATGCTCCCAGGCAGCACTCATGATTATACACAATCAAGCAGTTTGAAAGATGACTGACACTGAAGACCTCATTTACTAAGGGCAAAGTGAAAATGCATCTGTAATTCCCCCCCATTTCCTTCTATAGTTTTCATCTCCTCTTGCAAAAAAGCACCACCAACAACACAGAATTGTTGTGCAACATTAAAAATAAGATTTTCAAGCCTGCCTCAATTACAGTCCATTACTGAAACCAAGCAGAAAGCATTTATCACCCACATGGCTTATCCCAGTGCAAGGGGAGCACTTCATGGAGCAATACAGGGAGTGGCAGACTGAAAGGATAAGGGGGCACTTCCTGTGCTGCCCCAGGACACCACAGACCCAGGTTTAAATTGAATTTGCCCCCTAGCACAGCTGGTAGCAGTTCTAGATGGGATCCAGCTCCAGTTCTCCAGGCTCAGGCGATTTTCTCAGTGGCCTATCTAAAGGCTGGTACCTAAATTGCTGATGAACAAATTGTCTTCAAATTCTAGGAGCAAGAAACAATGAGGATGTGTTCTGGATCAGACTGAAGTCCAGTTAGCTGCTGTCTTCTAGCACTTATTTAGAGCAAGGGTTATACACATTTTTACCCTTTGACAGGCTTTCACTACTGTCATCACTTCTGTCCTCCTGGGGAAAGGATTCACCACAGAATGGAGGAGAACACCAGCACCTCAAAGATGCAGCCAGAAGGATACTATTGAAGCCCCTAAAGCCCCAAACTTCTCAGTGTTCAGCCAGCAATAGGCTGGATGGCACAATTCTCTTTTCCTTGCACCTGGCTTTTGCTTTCTAGCAGCTTATTCAATGCAATAACAGATTTCCCCACAAAGTGCAGCAATGTCCTTAGCCCCAAAAAGTGTGACAAGACTAGCAGCAATTAGTTTAAAATAGGTATCTCAAAAGCTTTTATTGGCAGGCTCTGTAGCAAATAGACTGCAATCCTGTTAAAGCAGGGAATTCGAGTCTGAACAGGAAATTTTAGAAACACAGAGAACATGCCAAAGCATTATCTGCTATATTGCTTTTGCTCATATTGGCAAGAGTGTTGTACTGTACGAAATGATCTTTAGTTCAATATTTACAGCAAAGGAAAAAAAAAAGCCTTACAAAAATTAATAGGTGAAACACCCAATAAAACAAAAAAAGCACAGGAAACCAGCCTGACTTTCTGATCCCTTGCCATCACCCCATCCTTTCTAGGCTGCACACTGCTACAAACAGCAAAGAAACAGAGGACAATAAGAGGTCAGAGATGGCTCCTGATGTTTAGAAGACATCCTTTGGAAAAATACCAGAGAGATTATTTATTCTTTTTCGCCATGTCTCAGCTTTAACAGATGGAATCCTAGTAATCAGACAGAATTCTTCTGCATGCTCCTGTGGAATTTAATGAGTGGTATCTACTTACTTCTTGCTCTGTATTTCTTTCTCAAGTCTTCAGGTGGGATTCCCTGGAGTACTCAGTCTACCTCACCTTGTTACAGCCAGGGGCAAGAGACCTCCTGACCTCTGCAAGAACAGAGTAGAGCAACATCCTTGCTGCTCCTTCTCCTACCTTTGAATTTGTCTCCCTCCTGCCACGGACAGTCTAATTGATGTCAGTAAAATTTAAACCCCATCTCATGCCAGTACACTGAAGAGACGTATATAAATATTCTTCTGAGCAAAACCTGAAGGCAGCCACTGCACAGAGGGGGTTCAATTTCAGAATAGAGTCCAAAACTTTACTTTCTACCCTGTTTAATACTTTGATTTATATCCTCATTAGCCTGGGGAATAGCTCCTATTAAAACTATTAAAGATAATTTTTGCAATAATATCAAAGGATATGAGTAGGCGTAATGATGGTACTAATGATAAAAATTAATAACATTCATTATTTTTAATCATATGTACAGTTGAAATGAATAATCAGGAAAATAAACAAGACATTTTATGTGAACCAAAAATGAAGGGGATGTGAAAACACTATAAATTACACTCAGTTGTCCACTCAAAGTTTATTATTGCACTTTTTGCAGAAAGTATTTTGCAGACAGCCAGGAACCATTGAGCAGCATAATGTAAAACCAATGCCTGTTCACCTCTTCCAAACCTGCACCTTTAGATGCCTCCCTCACTCCAGGATAATGTGGGCATCTGGCACCTTACTGTATATATGAGACATAACTGGATTGAGATGTTATTAATGCTAAACAGCAGCAGAGACAACATTTTCTCCTTTAGTCTTTACAGCTGTTCCTTTACCATCTCACTGTCCATGTCTGTCCAGATCTTTGGCACAACACTGTTTCTCACTCACAGGAAGGACAGTGCAGCCAGTGTCTCTACAGACTTTGGCAACAGCACAAGGAGCCCATGAAATTTCACACAGCAGTGCTCAGCAATGCAGGAAACTCATCTGACTTAAAGCAAGAGCCCTCCTGCCAGACTGTCATATACAGCAATTGATTCTTCCAACCATATTCCCTTCCAGTTATGAAACGGCTTCAAAATCCTAACTCATTTTGGATTTCAAGAATGCAAAACTAATGCTCAGCAAATAAGACAATGTGCTTCTCACCCTTGTTTCAAAACTCTGAGAACACAGCTCACACTAAGCACTACCTACATAAATAAATGCATCTTTTGGTCTTCCTTCTTGGAAGGGGGACTTTTATTCAGGTTTTAAGAACAAAGTAGCAGATTGGAAGTCAAGCTAGAAATAGATCTCTTAACCAATGAGGTTATTATTGTTTACAAAAACAGAACTGCAGTCTTGGTGTTCATTACAGACCACCTTAAAGGCTTTGCACGAGCCTTTGCTTGATATTAAATCCTCCAGTGAAAGTTACGATAGCCATTTGTAAAATGAAGGGATTTTTCTCTTCAGAACCAAACCTAAGCTTTGCTGCTCTCAAAAGCCCTCTGTTTGTATCACCTAAAACACAGGTTCTGTTTTAATTCTGAAATAAATAATATAGTTTTTAGTCTGCAGACAGGTTGCACCTTTCAAATTTTGACTACTCCAAAGCTTCAATAGCTCTGATATTCCTCAGCCTCGGTAAAGGCACAGGGAAACCCAGGTCACACAGGACTTTTTTGAGAAATGTACTTTTACCTACTCCTCACATAAAGTTCCATAGGAGAGAGAAAAATCAGACACAGAAGTGAGCACTGCATGGTCATAAAAGCCCTTTTCCCCAGCTGATGAACCGGAGTTCCACACACTAAAATTCCAGTTGCTGGTTGTACCATGCAAATCTTTCCCAACTTGGTCAAGGCCACCAAAAATCCCAGCTGCTCTCCTAAGAAGACATTCCATACTAGAAATTGCAGGAATTGCCAAAAGGAAAACTTGCATCCTGGGCCACCAGAAAGGACAAATTAAGGCTAATTTACATTATCTTGTCAGTTTAACACACTCAAGGCCAGAGGAACAGTTTCACTAAAGTAAATTGCCCGCAAGTTGACAAGACAAAGCCCTGTGACAACAGCAGCCAGGTTATCACACATCAGTAAAAGCTCTTCATCACCAAGAAAGAAAAAATCCAGAGCAAAAAAACTCAAAAAAGTGCCTCTTACCTCTTGCAGTATTTCACTTCAGTATCCCACCAGGAGGATGATCATCCCATCCTCATACACTCGTTGATCCAGCACACAATGTGATGAAGGACAGTGGCCATGAAGCCAGCCTCAAAGATGAAGCCCAGTTCCCCCAGCAGCCAAGCAGAAGAAGCAATAACAGGAAATGCTCCTCAGCTGGAGCTTAAATAGCAGTAGGCAGGCCCAGCTGAGGACAATTAGGGGCTCTAAGGGCTGGCAAGAGCCCTGCAGGGCTGCTGCCCTTTGCTGCCTGAGAATAGGTGGTCCCCCTGGGAAAAAAATAAAGTGAAATTAGAGCATGTTTGGACAAAATTTCCTGGCTTTTTGGAGTATCTTCCCATATATTCCTTAAATAGTTCTGGGAGAGACAGCCATCTCCCAAGATATCTTTGCTTCCCAAAACACCACAGTCAGTGAAGAGGTTTTCCAAAGCAAAGAGAATTAGTCACTGCCCCAAATCAGGAAGGACAGATGAAAACTGAACCCAGACAGCTCCAGGGAAAGGAAGGCTTTGTCCAGCCTAGGTTTTATCAGCTGCAGTGCCAGGCTGGGTGATATTCTGGTCTTTGCTCACCTCTGGATTTTTCCTTTACCATTGGCTGGGGCTAGAGGCTTGGTTCATATGCATAGGACTCCCCTTTTCTCCTGGCACTTGTTCCAGCTGAGCAGTGCAGGAGGCTTTGTGCCTGTCCTTCAGGCACACTGACAGAAGCAGACAACAATGTGTTTGTCCTCCCTATGTCCACCCTCCTGTGCAAAAACCTGACTGCAGAAAAAGAGACGCTAACGTGATGTTAGAGAGTTCTCTGGGCTTCTCTTTGTTTTGCTCTTCCTCCTTGCTCAATATTTTTCACTTTTGAGTGCCTTATGCACATAGGTGTGTGCTTTCCAGTGAAATTGCAGTTCCCAACATGTCTGTGTGCTCTTACTGCAGCTCTGACACCTTCAGTGCCTGATTCAGGGCTTCTGACAGTACATTTGCCCCTGAGGGAACCTTCTGGCCTGCCCTAGATGTGGGAACAGATTATTATGGTTGGGTTTACTCTGATTTTTACTCTCAGAAATATCAGTTCCCAGATATGAAGGCATTGAGTGGCACCCACTGAGATGAGCAGCTCTTGGAATGGGGGAGGCGATATCCTGGCTGGAACCAGACTAGCTGGTCCAGCCCAGGGCACTGCCACCTATTCTAAATCCAATTTCCAAACATGGGCTCAGGCAGGGGGGGCTGTTTCAGGGCTGCAAAACCCCAGCTCATCTCACTCCAGGAAAGGAGGGCAAATCATGGGCTTTGGCCTTCTTCCTTCTCAAAAGAATATGTGTTCTTGGGCCTCAAGACAATGAGTCATCAAACCCAGAGAATTAGTTCTATTTCCTGTATTTGGAAATGGAGACTAACTTTTAGGTTTTCCAGACTTGAGAACAGGCTGATGAGGATGTTTTGTGGGCTCTAAAACAGAAAAAAAAGAGGCTTGTGTGTTTGGGGCTGGGAAAAGGGTTCCTGGTGTTGGGATGGGGTTTGGAGCAGAGACCAAGTCCTGTGTGTTTGGGCTCAGCAACTGAGATTGACTCATCTGGTTCTGAGCAGGGGTGCAGGAGTGGGAGGTGTTGGGTTCCAGGCAGGCAGGAGGTGGGCAGGGACCAAGATTCCTGCCTCAGGTGGGGGCTCAGTCATGTTGGTCCCCAAAGTCTGAGAGGCCAGCACGCATCAGACAAGAACTCAAAGCCTGAAAGAGTCTCTGTGGGAAAAGACAGTTTTCACACTGGTTTTATATGTCCAGCTCTTAATTCATTGTGTGTACAACAGCAAGAATTGTCATTTAGTCATTAGTTCATATTTGGACAGTGCACATGATGGCAGTTCATATTCCTAGGACAGTGACTGATTTATGACCTTGTCAAAAGCCACACTGCTATAATGAGCAGAAGCTTTAATTAGCTTAAGCATGGGCAGGGCTGTCCCCAGCCCAGAGCAGAGCAAGCAGCAGCATTGTCTTCTGCACAAGCAGCCTGGATTCTTCCTCAGAGATTCAGGGAACCCTGGGCCAGTCCCTCCCATCTCTTTTCAAGGGTAGGAATGATGTGTGCCAGCAGATGTGTGGTGCCTGCTTGGAGATTTGGGGGGGGCAGTGTTACTGGCCCAATTGTCCTCACTCACCACAGATGAACCCAAGACTGAACTAGCTCCTGCACCCCTGGAAGAGAAGGCACTTTTGCAGGAAGCAGCCAAACAGCATTTTCCACTTGATATGTTATACTTACACAATATTTTCTGTGCTTATTAAGTAATTATTAAGTGTTTAATAATCAGACAATATTTATAAACTAGTAATTCATTATTATTTATATACTTGTAAGGTGATTATTCAACACATATTCAATATTAAACTATGCTACTTATAAACAAGTGATGGCAGCAATTTATTTACAGCCATATCAAGAGCCCCCTGTGGCACCAGAGCAAGCAGGAGCTGCATTCCCACCCCCATGAAGGTGGTAGGAGCCAGGCAGGATCACACAGTGCACTGGCAATTCCCCAGAACCAGTTCTTTTGTCTCTGCATCAGGCATATATGCTAAAGATGCAGGAATATGAGTGGTATGTTTCATTTTTATAGGTAGTGTTGCCCTTACCAGTGTGACTTTCCAGTATCATTAAAATTAATAAGATCAGCAAAGCAGAGAGGAATAGCAGTAACTCTGTTACTTCTCAGCTTTTCAGTTTACAGTTTCACATTTAGGGAACTTAAAAGTTGACTTGAACTGAGACTGTTGGGTAGTGTAATATATTGGTATTGATATAGAAACTTTAGGGAGACGAAACAAATGCCATTCAAATCATTCTCAACTACAGCATGAACTGCTACAGAATTTTCACAGGTATAACTAAGAGGGTGAAGCTGGATGTGCAAGAAAAATACATGAGAGCTCCTCTGCTAATTCTAATTAGTAATGATGGCCTGCTGCAGAGGCTAATCACAATAACAAGAACCAGAGAAGAGCTCAGGAAGCCCAGCTAAAAAGTAGAAAAACACTGCAAGTTCATAAAACTGATAGTATTTTTAATTGGAAAATCCCCTCTGACAACACAAAACAGCTTCCTAAATCATGAAACAAATGAAGACACTGACAAAGAGTTCAAATTTCGGGAACAGATGGTCTTAAAAGTGATTCAGTAAGTCTCCATCAACTACTAGGAAAGTGCTCTAAACCCAAGCACTTTCCATAACCTTGGAGGGGCTCTCTGGTTCATTGCAGAGGATTACAAGACAACATTTTAAAACAAAGAGGTGAACCTAGTCTGTGTAAGGTTCTATGAAAAAAATTAACTCTACCCTGGCCAAAACCAATGAAATAGTAGAGAACAATTGTACCTTGTCTATGACTGTGGCTTAACTGATGCATCTGTTTCCTGAGGCTGACACTATGGCACAGGATTATAAATCTTGGGGTAAAACCTTCCCTGTGAAGGGAAAAAAGATGACAGAAATCTGAGCCTAAGAATAATATTAATAAACCAAATAAAATAATTAAACCACTACTGACTATGCTGTTAACATCCAACTCCTATGAAGGAAAATGTTCTAAGCTAGGAAAGTAAGGTGGTCATTAACACCAGTTTCATGTTATTTTTAAATATCTTCCATAAGCAGCACAGGAGAGCAAGTAGTTAATTTGGCCACAAAAAATATGATCATGTCCTTTCTGCCTAGCTTTAATTATTTCAATGACATATTTATATGAGGAAGAAAAAGCATAATACTTAGTTCATGACCATGACTGAAGTTGTAGGAAAGAAGAAAATAAGGGTGTCTCAGAGTCAACAAAAGAGAAGCTGTTTTCTGCCCACTGTTAAATATGATCAAAATTACCTGATCTTAAGTATATTTATGTAAAATTTGTAAAGAATGTATATAAGTTTCTCTAGATATAATTATATGTATTGGCAAATGATACTTGAGTTGGAAGAAACAAGTAATTCAATTAACGCCAAATGTTTCCCACATGCAATCTGGTAAAGTATAATTTGTTATCATTAAGCTATCTTTGCAATTTCAGAAGTGAGAACTATACTTTCATGGCTTTCAGAAAAATATTACAGAAATTAATGGTCCTTAAATAGGTAAAAGGAGAATGTAAAAACAGATTAAAAGCAGTACTTGGCAGACAGAAAAGATTCCTCAATTAGAGATGTCAAAAACCCTAAATGTGTAGTATGTGGGCATGTAACTTTATGGAAAAGTGTTATGAAATGACTAACGAGGAGATTGTAAAAATATGAAATTATTCTATTCCTTTTCTGCATGCTGGCTGTTATTTTCCCATCCTTTGAGCAAGACAGTCACTAAAGTATGTAGTGTGTCATCTTTGCAGAAGGATCTGTTTGAAGTTGCCACCCACACCGTACCTGTGTGGGCAGAGAAGAGACTCCACCAGTGACTGAAGCTGTGGGAATCTGTGAACAGAAGAGAAACAGCCAGCGCTGCGCCCTTGGGGATAAAACAAGTTACTTTGTGTTATCCACTGTGCCAAAATGTTGGCCTGTGCAGTCTGCCAGCAGCAAGGCACAGAAACCTCCCAAGAGCGAGTCGTGATGAGGCCTTTCAGCTCCACAGCTGTCACCTTGCAGCCTGCTGTAAATGGGGAGTAACTTCTGCCTTGTGGGGGACAGAAACCAACAGGGCCTGATCAAACTAGGGTGCTTTTCAAAAGCCTCAGTACTTGACTTTCAGCTTACAAAGATCTCTTTAACAGCATGTCTTCAGGTCTGGCTTGTAAGCCTGAAATCAGAACGATACAGTGGAAGGAACTTGAGTATGGCTGGCGCAGGCCACAGTTTAGAAAACACTAAATCAAAACCTTCCACTTAAGGAGTATTGGATACACTGAATCCCCAGCAGCCCAGAAACTCAAATAGGAAGGCCTGATGCTCACCAAAAATCCCATATAATTCAAACTTTCTCATGCCAGGGCCAAGACCACCTTGCAGTCCTGACAAACATGAAAAGAAGTAGGACTTCTTCCTCTGAGTCTCAACAAATTTCTTTTTGGAGTGTGGATGAACTATAAGGAAACTGCAACAAAACCAATGAAAACAAAATAAAAAAACTTCACTTACATAATGCATATTTTGGATATAGTCAAAATACTAGAAATGAGAATTTCTATAAGTTCTTTTCTCAGGAGCTCCCTTCAGCTTTCTGCATATAAAGGACAATCTTCAAACACCCAGGGTCAGGAAAACCTCCTTAAGACTTTTGTATATGAAA